GTTCTCGTGTTTGTCGACAGGAATAATAAAGAGGACACATTTAACAGCCTTCTGTCAATATGATTAACACGGTTAGCTTCGTACGGTGCGAAATAAGTTCAACATACTTACACGTACATACAATGCACCATCTAACGAAGGCTTCCTGCGCAATCTGTCAGCGATAGCGGTTTGGTTCATCAAATTCACTATAATCGTCAGTGCAGGCTGGTAAAGGTGAAGGGGTGGCAGGATTGGTTTGGATACCACTCGCCACTGATACACACTATTCACCAGATTATGACTCTCCGCAAAGTTAGATGCACCCCATAAAAGGGGGGAATGTGTTTTTTTTTTATAATCCAGAGAATGTACGTACAGGTAGTCCCCGACTTACGATAGAGATGCGTTACGACGACCCCATCGTAAGTCGAAAATATCGTAAGTCGAAGATGGCCCTAGCCTACCCAGGAGTGTTAAAGAATGGTGATAATTTAGCAAAACAGAGCAATTTACAGTACCGTACTGTATAAACTATATACTGTATGTATTTATTAATTACAATACTGTATTGCACAGTAAATTTTAAAGTAAAAAGCAAGGTTAATTCTTAGCCTACCTATATGAACTGCAATTTTAAAGAAAGTTTTTTTCAGGAAACAATCCTATCTGCTATAAAAAAAAAACTTTTAACATGCATTGAACGTATGTATCGTATCGTGATAACCCTAAAATGAAATCGCCAAAACTATGTATCATACCTACATTGAACGTATCACATTCTACTGTACTCACCAAGATTCAGTCCGTCGTCTGCATACTTGAACGATGTTAGGTTGTTGATGGCTACATTAACTTAGTTGTCGGAAGAGGAGGATGGCGATGTTGTATGTTGAACTTCTTTTGCGCACCGTACAGAGCCAACCGTGCCCATCGGAGGTGTGGTAGCTGTGGCTGGGAATCAAACTCTGGTCGCATATTGTACTACACTGCCTCTCAAACATGCACGTTTGTTACAGATGATATGCATATGTGTATTATTATATGAAAAACTAAGAAGGGGAAAACATTTCCAGAAAATATTCCATTAAAAAAAACGTTGTTCACTTTTATATATTTTCGTGTAACCAAAAAAACGATCAGTTGGTGATTTGTCAAAGCACGGTACAAAATCGCATGTCTGACTTGCTCGACATTGAGATGGGTGGCTATATGAAGAGTTGACACGTGAGAACATGGAGAGAAAATTACCATTTACAGCCTGCACAAAGACTGCACTGGTCAGGGTGGAGACGTGCGGCGTTCTAACGGATTAACAATGCTACTTCGTGAGCATATGTTAAGCGTTCATTTTATTAAAAAAAAAATTACTTGACCGTTCGACAAAAATACACCACATTCCTTGCGAGTGGCCCAATATAATTAATTACTTTCGAACTCCCGTGAACAAAAAAAAAGTGGAAATGAAATGTTAAATCGAACACTGCAGAGGCATGTCATTTGCAAAGTTTTAAACTGCAACAGAAATGCCTTCCTACAAAGTATGTCCTGTTGGCATGCATTATAAATACAGAGCAGCTATAATGGATTACTTGAAAGTAAGTTTTGACAGCTGTGAACAGTGAGAGATTATGAAAAAAAATACATGACACACACACAAAATAATCTCTACCTCTGTAGAACACGGCTAAAAGCAAATTTAAAATAAGCAAGACATAAATAAAGAGCCTGACAATAATTCCAACAACGAATGACCAATCCAGGATAAATTATTCGCAAATTTTATTAAGGCAAACCTTTATCTTAAAATGTACTCCATAAACATTATGAGTGGTGGACAGCACCTCTTATTAAACTTTCTCCCAAAGACGATTTCTCTGAGCTCGTGTGGCATTGCGGACTAACGAGATTTCATTATGAAAAGTCGTACAAGTGTTCACCGTGGCCCTAAAGCAATCACTCGGTGCGCTGAATGAAATTTGCATGCGCGTAATGCTCTGGCATTATCTCGGTAAGTTTAGGTGATTGCCGCCAAAGGGAGCTGAAAGACAATGCAGGCACAGAACACGTTTAATTAATATATAAAATGACCATCTAAGGTTATAAATTGTTCAAGTGGCACCACACATTTAGGAGAGAGCGAGAGAGAGAAGTAATGTAACGTGAGCTATGAGCTAACCGACATTTTTATTTAATTCAATGAACAATGAAAAACAAGTGCACACATTTAATTTCACCATTTCATTCTGTTTGATTTACGTCACTTTTGCTGACAGATTTCTCCCCATGCCCTCCCCTTCTTCTTCCACGTTTGTGTAACATTTAATACTTTAGCTGACCCACACTTTAGCTGACCCAACGGTCGAACACTTCTTGGCTTCGCGATCCCTCGGCAAGAGTTGGTTGGTGGTGAACTGAATCACAACATCTGTGGATACCTTATGGGGCCAATACTTTGCATCGCTGTGAATATGCGCGTTTTATCCATGACGGCCTCATTGAGTCTCAATAATCTTTTTCAGATCTTGCCAAGTTTTCGGAAGGTATTTTCAGAATTGGGATATTTGGCCCAAAAAATTGTGACATTTCAAATTTTCCCCAAGGAAACCACGTGCAAAATATTGTGGGGAAGAACGTACAAACTCCACACAGGAAGGCAGAGCGCCCAAGTCGGGAATCGAACTCAGGACCTTCCTGCTGTGAGGCACAAATGCTACCACTGTGTCACCCTGCTGCTTAGCGAAGGCTCAACGACAACTCCACGGTGTGAAATGTGCCGAACAATTTTCAGTGAGCGAACATGGGTTGAACAACCGTTCACTCCTCCTCATTCCCCCCATAAAAAAAAACATCTCTCGAATTCACTCCGCATCTCCCTGGACTCGATATCAAAAGAGTACTGTAATACATTAAATTTTTTTTATTTCTCTTCATCATCTTCGTCATCATCATCATCATCATGTGTGTATGCATGTTGAACTTCGTCCGCACAGTATGTAGCCAACCGCGTGAATCGGAGGTGCGAGGAAAAGAGGATGAAACTCAACACAAAAAAGCAGTTCTAAAGAAATTAATGAGAAGATGTTGCCTGGTTATTGAATACATAAATTTTTGCTGTGATTATTATTATTACTACACGAGTTTACCCAATAAAGCATTACAGTTTTATGAAGAATCTTTTTCAGGAGCGTCTCCTGCCAAATTGGAAGTCACGTTGCTGCTGCTGCTGCTGCTGCGTGAAATCCCAATTGAGTAATTTGCAAGTACATTTTTATTCTCCCTCCGGTATTGGGGATGTTTGGCCGATACCAGTTACATTGTGCATTTGTTGTTTTTTTTTTACCAACGTACGTTCGTCGGTTGTTGTTGTCTCAAATTGTCAGCCATGTGCACTGCGCCGCCATCGTTTCTCGGATTACGGGAGGTGCACACGAATGATTTCGTTTTTCCGAGTTGTTGCCGACAACAAATAACAAAAACGACCGAACGCGCACACGCGCGCAGAGAGCACAGCCACATGCAAAGCAATTCGCAACCAATGGAGGAGGCATAGTGACAAATATATAAAGCGTCCCTCGGCGCACGATAATGAAACTTCACACACCTCTGCATTTCCAGGATAGCGAGAGTTTAAATGGCGAACGGGCTCCAAATTGCACAGAGGAGCAGACAAAACTGTGAGACTGGAGCCACCATCGCTCCACGCGTCTCTGAGGCCCTCTCGAGCCTCCACGGCTTCGCAAGGCCTAGCACCCCAAGCTGCCGTGATAAGTGCTCACATTATGCTTCATTAAAACACGTACGGGGGGGGGGGGGTGTGGGGGGGATTGGGCGTTATAATGAGATGTATCACATCGAGTGGTCGGACGCACACACTCGCGTTCAAGGGAATATCAAGGGATCGGTGCAAGATCCACTTTTTTGTGACATTTTTGTGGTCAGATGTGAATCGCCTTCTCAAAGAAAGTGCAATAATGGTCTTAATGGACAGGGTGAATAGGGAGGAGGAGTTGGCGGGTAATTCTAAGTGCAGTGGCGAGAACATTCGTCCCGTTGGCTATCGTGGCAAATGGGTGGGGTGGACCGGTTGTTACTCGCTGGACAGACAAGTGAGCGTAGGCTCGAAACAATAACGATAATAATGCGTAACAGGTGAATTTTAGGCAGCAAAGGGTGCAATTTTCACCGTATGCCCTGCATGTCACACGGCGTCACCATACTCTGTGTATCATTCACAAAGCCTTGCTTCAGACCGCCAGCACAAAAAGTAAACAAAAAATTGTGGCCATGTTATCCTTGACAGCAATGAGCGAGGGCTTATTTATTTATTTATATCTTAAACCATGCAACCCCTTCACACTGCAAACCCAGCAGTATGAATGCGTGTATCGCAGTCAGTCCATCGGCAGGTCGCGTGTGCGGTGGGGGATTACTCGGCAGAGTGGAATACCCTCCAGAGAGGTGTTCCCTGCAGCTCTCTGCGGTGGGGTGCCTTCCGCAAGAATCGAAAAGCGGGGAATTTTCACATCACTTGTTATGCAATCCGGCGAGTCTCTGTCACTCAGGGGAGGTGGCCGGTATGTCTGTTGAACTACAATCGGAAAGAAGAGCGTTCCAGACGGCCGCAGAAGCGCATCTGAAAGTGCGCGATGCAGCGACCGTCTTTGTTCGATGGCTAGCCAAAAGCCGCTGCGAGGATGACCGGATTGCTGCGATATCATTTAGATATCATTCATCACGAATGTTAGTCTTGGTCGGGAACTGCAATTCCGATCGCTGTGTTCATAGCTCAGTGCCCTGTGCGACTGCTCAATCGCTCGCCCCACCACTCCTCCTACCTCTTCCAGAGCATCCGGCCAGCGTTGAAACAAGCGGCTCTCCAACAGTGCAGAGAGCAAACGATTGCAGGGCTGCACCTGTTACCCATTTAGGCAACATCAGGATAGTTGGTGTGAGGAGTAGGGGGGTGGCGAGTGAGACAGGGGGGGGGGGGGGGGGGGGGGGTAGATGCAGTTCCTTACCACGCAGCCCGACGAGTCGATGCGACGCTCAGACACGCAGTGGAAGTTCCGCGTGCAGCCACCGTTGTCCCGTGAGCAGTCGCGGACCGGGCCGAACGAGTCCAGCAGGTCCTCGAGGGACTCAAAATGCGTCGAGCGCATCGCCTCCTCCCTGCGTAAGGCCAGGTGGCGGGGGGGGGGGGGGGGCGGGGAGTTGTGGGGGTTAATGGGGTGGAACGTAAGATCGATGAGGGGAATGCTCGAAAGTGGTTGGGGAACGAGCAATACCGCGCTCCGGCCGGATGTCAAATATCAAACATGGGGAGGGAGATGGAAGCTGTCCTCAGCCATAGACGGAGATAAGTGGAGAGATATCTTATTGCACTCGCACTGCGAGTGCAATATCTGCGAAGGGAGTGGTGACATCACGGTGTTCCAGAAAGTCCAAGGGAACAGAGGAGGAGGAGTGAACCAATGGCTTCATTTCTGTCATCTTAGAGCGAGTCGTCGATTGACCAATCAACGCTGTTCCTTTAACACAGTGGGAACCCACAGCGCTTCGTCAATCCACTGCTGGATGACGGGCACGGAGGTTCGCTCAACAGTACCGAAGGTCGTGCGAATGGGTAGGCTCCCAAGACCTGTTCAGAAAATCACTCGCCACCGACATTAACCCTGGCTGGCAGTCGAACTCAGGTTTTTGCCGGGGGTTCGTAGCACGGAGCTGCTGCCACCACTGGACGGGAGGGAGTGGCTGCACGCGACGGGCCAGGATGGGCTCGGGCTGTGACGGGTCACACTGTGGACCCGATGTTGCGAATGTGTTAAGTTTTTTTTTAACGTCCCAATAGTGACGTATTATTCGAGCTGCTAGTTAGCATTGTTTCAATAAATAAATATCGCACACACGCTGCGTTTCTTGCAAAAAAATATGGAGGCATTTTGACGTAACGTTGATGTGCTTTATATGCGACCCTTTTGCAATAATTTACAGGATATTCCATGCCATAAAGGATTCATTAAATTCATGCCATTACTACCCTGAGCTGTATTGCACTACCTGTTTGACACACAATGTCGGTTTCCAATCGGAAAGTCCCTAATTGCCCGAGTTCAGTTATTATATACTAACCTTTCCTCTAGAGATCCCCCTAATGGGTGTCAGTCGGATTCTTTAAAGATCCATAGAGGCACATGGCACGGATGCCCTCTGCCCTGTTGTTCTGTTGCTGTTGCACTAACTGCACGTGAGATGAGGCTTTATATAGATCTACCCGGGATTATGCTACAGAATAAATCTATCACAATCTTCCCTTCACGCAATGAACTTTTGCCGGTTAAAAAAATACTCAGTGGTAGAGCTCTCTCTACATACACACGTGCCAATTATGTTCATGATCTTGCTGGGATCCCCCCGCCGATACGATTAAAATGAGAGACGCATTTGTGAAATCGCTCCAGGATTTCCACAGTGTTTCCACGGTGTTCGGCGGTCGTGCCGTGCCGCGCGCTGTTCGGCGGGACGCGCGACGACGTTTCGCTCCACGCGCTGGGAGCCTGCCGCATCTCCCGACATCTGTGCCTCGCGTCGAAGCTTCGACGGAAAAAAAGTGAAGAGGCTCCCAACACGCGTAGCGAAACGTTGGCCTTCGCGCCGGAAACGACGCGCGGTACAACCCACGAAGGCACCAGAGAGCCGTGCTGCAGCTGCAGCATGACAGCGAAAGCATACGCAAGTGGTACACACTGAATGCTTCCCTCATTCGAGAAGGCTACACCGTCTAAAAAAACCTCGCAAGATCTGCTTGAAATTGCGCCTTTACCAACTTGAGCCACCCCGGAGCCTCTAACCAGCTCTCGATGGATTCAGGTAACAAGAGATAATTTATGCCAATTTCTTGAACGATTTTGAAACTACGGCACAGACCCAGGGAAGAGCAATTTCACATTTCAGTTGTCTGAGGTTGCCAGATGGCTCAGAAGTCAGAGCAATGAACCAGCACTGCCGGGATCTTGGGCTCAAGTCTGGGTTACTGATGCCCGTGAACCAACCACCGGGTTCCCACGTGTGCCACAGAAACATCATGTACAATGTAAATGTTTCACTTGATGTGGTTAAAGTTCTGCTCTCAATGGCAAGTGAGAGACACCTCTTCTGTCGCAGGGAGTATGGGAAGGTGCGCCCAATGGAGTGTGCATAAACAAGCTTAATATATTCCGTTCAGAATCTCAATATTTAATTACACTGTAGAGAATCTATTGAGCGACCAAAACCTATTTTTTTTCACATTTCGGGCACAGTGCTACGAAATGTCCCGCTGTGGGTCGATCAGTGACACACGGCGCCATGCCCAGGTTCTGTTATTCCAAACGGACGCGACGCCTCCTGACAGTGACGTCGAAAGCACAATTGGAATACAAATTTTGAAGATAAAGACATGTAACCGTTGTTCTTATTAACTTTCGACCATGTGTAATTCAAAGGGAAGATAACAATATCGATGACCCTTTATAAACATACGTATTGTCGTAAATCCACTGCTAGATAAGAGCATTCCAATGCCAATCGGGTCATCAGGTCGATTGATCACGCTGCACCACTCTGATCAGTGGGGGTTGAAGGGGACAGCCAAAATCGGTTGAGATGCCGCTCCTCAATGATGTTAGCCATGGCCGGGAATTGAACTCTGGTGATTTGGTGCACAGCGCAGTGCGTTAACCACTCCGCCGCTGCTACGCCAATTTAAATTCGGTTCTAGCTTAAAGGTCGTGATCTAAGCGTGGCTTCTCCCACTCCAGCGCTGTCCTCCAGACAGTCTCGTCCCTTCACCTGATGAAGGCCGCTTGTGTTGTGGCCGAAACGTCGTGATTTTTTGTTATTTTATTTTCACCTACGTGACTTTACCCAATAGAACCAAGGAGTATGTTTAAATTCGGTTCATCCACCAAAAACAACACCTTTGAACTCAATCACATTTCTAAACGTCATCACGCCAGGCAGTGCAGATTGGCAAAGGCAAGAAACCAAATACATGAGAACATAGACGTAGATTGGAACAATACATTTTGCAAATGCCAACCACGGGCCTCAGTGCGTTTAGGTGGGAGTACAACCCTCACTATTTTGTCATGGCTTTGATTGAAAGATTATTTTTTTGTCTTTGCATTTTATTTTCGTCTCCAATGTTTTGAGTGGAGGTGATTTAACATTCAAAATAAACACGGCTCACGGTTTATGGACATCATGTAGCTTCACCACCACGTATGTAACCTTATACTTTAAGTTTAGGGGGCTACTGGTTATCAGGTATTGAGCATGTATGGGGGGAGGGGGGAAACGGCGGTCGGATGTTATGAATGTCGAAACTTATCTCCTTCCAACAGGATAGCTGAGGTGCTGCTACTCTTCTCTGCAACAAGCGGAAGGAGGACAGGAATAGCCAAGCCTGGAGAAAATACTTGCCGCTGACAATGGTCCCGTTGTGTCGCAGACGCTATCTAACACATTCAGCGCGTCGGCCCGGCAGAGATTATTTCGCGTACTTAAAAATTTCAGACTGCCGTCAAGACCTTTAATCCATAATCCCAGCCTCAACGTTAGACGGGAAGTGAGATATTCTTAAAGTGGCTCGCAAATCGCACACTTGCATCGGGAGTAGCCGATACACTTGCACCTGCGGGAAACCCCCTCTTGGCCTTTGGATGCTGGCCCTGCCAGACAAGAGAGCCGATTCTATATATATATAAAAAAAAAGAGAATTGGAGAAAGATGTCCCAAAGCCAAGCGACAAAGGGGCAACGTCTCGCCAGATCACACGAGATTTTGGAGCGCATCGTATTACCGCATCTGCCTTTAAAAAAAGCATGTCCACAATCACGAGGATTCCGTAGATCGCTCCAGGCATCACTCCTGCCCTGCGCGTGTACGCCGTTGCAGATGCTCTTCGGCGCTTATCATGCAATGCTCCAGCAACCTCTGTCAGGGTGGTCTCCATGGAAGGGGGCTTTCGGTAGACCCTCTGGAGGAATATTTCGGCCTACCCTTTCACACGGGCTGGAAAGGGTAGGAGTACCCACACCTAGTAATAATAATAGCCAAATACGATAATTATTTTTTTTCATTAAATATATAGGTAACAATGATAGAAGCAGCTAAGCACGTCCATTTAAGCATTAGGATACTGACTGCCTAATCTCTGCAAATTAACACAGAGCCCTTCACATGCTATTAAGACAGGTGCTGTAGAATTCAAGATTAGAGGGGATTCCCAGTATTCTGCCATTAAGTGCAGTAGGTGATGCAGCGCCCTGCTGCCTGGCGGGATTAAGAACGGCGACACTGACCTAGAGGATTTAGGAGAGATTTGACCGTACCTCTCGTCGTACATGTCGAAGCTCATCTCCTTAGCTATGCTCCCTCCTTCTCCCAAGCTTATTTATGCTTTGTAATGCTTTGTAATGCGAGCGTCCAGACGGCAGCTTTCACAGAGGGTGGAGCAGTGGCGTAGTGCTGCACGCAACACGCAGTGAAGCTGGTGCCCGCGAGTTTGATTCCTGCTGGACGTGGCTAACATCAGTGGCGAGTGATACCCGAACGGGTCCTGGATGCCCCCGGACCCTTCAACAACCTGCCACTGACCAGCGTGGTGTTGGTATGATTAGGCAACCCCCAACGACTGACGAGGTGTGAGGTCACTAATGTCAGTCGTGGTCGGAAATCGAACAGCTCGATCGGCGGGTTGACAGTGAAGCGCGCCAGCCACTTTGCCACCGCTCCACCACTTAGGCCTCCTCTTACCTGGTCTAAAATGAAGGATTTCAAAATAATACGGATTGAATTAGCTCTTGCCATAAGAGTGTGGAATTTGCCACGACTGGGTTCGAGGCCAACGTTCGTGTGAGTGGGGAGACCAAGCCAACTTTTCTTAACGCTGCTGCACCAAACGTTGCCCACGATATACTGCGCCGACAAAATCCGCAAGTTAATTTTGCATTCACAATGGCATTGCGCAGCAGAGACACTCAGACTGGGCGGCTTCTTTTTCATGAAGCGCACACTTATGGACACGTGTTGAAATTGATGCATCCATGAAAAATAATAATAATATCGTCTGGCTTGCTTTCCTTGTTCTAGTGGTGTGCTAGCCACGACGAGAGGGCTTCAGGAGATAA